GAAGCCCGCCAAGAGCTGCGGACCCACCTGTGGGACGATGTGGATCTCTCCAAGCTGGGCACTCACAGCCTCAAGCGCTCAAGCGTCTGTCTGCTGAAGGACGTTTGCATGAGCACAGCGGTTGTCGCGGCCATTTGCGGCACGACTGCCAGGACCCTGGACAAGATCTATGGCGCCCACAAGGAAGCGTCAAAGAGCAGCAGCGACAGACGCCTTTGCCTCGCTTATGTCCTCGCTCCGCTCTGCGTCTGTCTCAGGCGCTGGCCGCAGGAAGATGCTGTTCTGCTGCGCCTGTGGCGAAAAGCGAGCCAGTGATGCCTGGCAGTGCTGCCCTTTCTGCGGGAAGGCTTATTATGATGGCTGAAAAAAATAAGCCGTTGGCTTTTTCACTTCAACGCCACAATTTTCGCTGTTTCACTGCCACTGCTGCATCTGGTCAAAATGCGACATTGTTCGAGCTCAGTGTGCCATGTCACGCCGCAAAGCTGCTCAATCCAAGTTTGCCGGGCCTGCAGGCAGCTCCAGGCAGCAACCAGACATGCGCCGCGCGGAGAGGCTCCGCAACAAGACATCACGTGCCCGGGACCCCAAAGCGCCGCCCTACGCGCGCGGAATGGGTTCTGATTTGGGTTCCGTTAAAAGGGTGGAAAGGGAAGCCAAGCTTTCCCCGTAAAGGGTGGAAAGGGAAGCCAAGTTTTCCCCGTAGCAAAAACACGGAAAAACACGGAAACAGCGAGGAAATTTGGGGTCTGGATATGGAGATAGATGGCATGGAAAACTAGGATGTCAGGCCTGGAAATGGCATGGAAAACTAGGAAAATGCACTTGTGCCCATTGTTTCCCTTGACAGGCGCAGTCCAGCTCGTCGCCTGCAGACAGGCGCCTGTCCAGCTCTTCGCACGGGGCTCGGTTGTCCCTCAGCCTCTGCGCCACCAGAGTTTCCCCCTTTGCACCACTTTGCACCACAATAGTTTCCCCCTTTGCACCACAAGAGTTTCCCCCTTTGCACCACAAGAGTTTCCCCCTTTGCACCACAAGAGTTTCCCCTTTGCACCACAAGAGTTTCCCCCTTTGCGCCACAAGAGTTTCCCCCTCTGCACCACCAGAGTTTCCCCCTTGACACCAAAGAGTAAGAGTTTCCCCCTTTGCACCACAAGAGTAAGAGTTTCCCCCTTTGCACCACAAGAGTTCCCGGGTGCAAAGGGAAGCCAAGTTTTCCCCGTAGCAAAAACACGGAAAAAGCGAGGAACTTTTTGGTGCAAAAACACGGAAAAAGCGAGGAAATTTGGGGTCTGGATATGGAGATGGCATGGACAACTAGGTGGCAGAAACACGGAAAAAGCGGAAAAATTGGATGGCAGGCCTATGCACTTTTGCCCATTGTTTCCCTTGACAGGCGCCTGTCCAGCTCGTCGCCTGCTGACCTCCAGCTCTTCGCACGGGGCTCGGTTGTCCCTCTGCGCCACAAGAGTTTCCCCCTTTGCACCACAAGAGTAAAAGTTTCCCCCTTTGCACCACAAGAGTTTCCCCCTTTGCACCACAAGAGTTTCCCCGTTTGCACTACAAGAGTTTCCCCCTTTGCACCACAAGAGTTTCCCCCTTTGCACCACAAGAGTTTCCCCCTCTGCACCACCAGAGTTTCTTTCTTGGCAGCAAAGAGTAAAAGTTTCCCCCTTTGCACCACAAGAGTTTCCCCCCTCTGCACCACAAGAGTTTCCCCCTTTGCACCACAACAGTTTCCCCCTTTGCACCACAAAAGTTTCCCCCTTTGCACCACAAGAGTTTCCCCCTTTGCACCACACGAGTTTCCCCCTTTGCACCACAAGAGTTTCCCCCTCTGCACCACCAGAGTTTCCCCCTTGGCACCAAAGAGTAAGAGTTTCCCCCTTTGCACCACAAGAGTTTCCCCCTTTGCACCACAAGATTTTTTTTTCTCTGCACCACAAGAGTTCCCACAAGAGTTCCCCCCTTTGCACCACAAGAGTAAGAGTTTCCCCCTTTGCACCACAAGAGTAAGAGTTTCCCCCCTTTGCACCACAAGAGTAAGAGTTTCCCCCCTTGCACCACAAGAGTAAGAGTGCCCCCCTTTGCACCACGGGAGTTCCCCCCTTTGCACCACAAGAGTTTCCCCCTTTGCACCACAAGAGTTTCCCCCTTTGCACCACAGGAGCTTCCCCCTTTGCACCGCAACAGTTTCCCCCCTTGACCACAAGAGCTTCCCCCTTTGCACCGCAAGAGTTCCCCCCTTTGCGCCACAAGAGTTTCCCCCTTTGCACCACAAGAGTTTCCCCCTTTGCACCACAAGAGTTTCCCCCTTTGCACCACGAGAGTTTCCCCCTTTGCACCACAATAGTTCCCTCCTTTGCACCACAAGAGCTCCCCCCTTTCCCTTTGCACCACAAGAAATCCACCTGTGCCCCGCAAACTTCCCCTTTTGCACCACGCAAGCATACACCGCGGTTGTTCCCCCTTTGAACTTCACATGATCTATACCGCAGTTTTCCCCCTTTGCACCACGAGAAGTCTAGCTGTATGCCGTGGCTTCCCCCGTCGCAGCACAAGAACATCCAACGCGCAACAGAGTTTTTCCTTTGCACCAACCACGAGAGTGGTCCTTGTTTTCTACAGATTTCCCCCTTTGCACCACAAGAATTCCCCGTGTCTACTGCAGATTTCCTTTGTGAACGCCAGTTTTCCCCCCTTGCACCACAAGAATTGCCCTTTTATACAGCAGGTTTCCCCCCCCCCTTTCAGAGTTCCGCGTGTCTATTACAACTTCCCCCTTCTGCGCCGCAAGAATGCCGGCGCCTCCCGCTTGGCGTTGCTCAGGCCACTTCATCCTCCCTGAGAACATCCTCTTCGCGCCAATTCTCGTGGTGCAAAGGGGGAAGGAAAATTGCGGTATATGTGGGAGATTGGGGTGCAAACGGGGAAAATAGTGTGGCGCAAAGGGGGAAGACTGTACGCGGGCGGACGTTTTGTGGGGAAAACTGCGGTATAGTTCGGTTGTGCACAAGCGGGAAAACTGCGACGCAAAGAGGCTATTATTGTGGTGCAACAAGGGCGCTGCAGTAACCGCGCAGGATTATTGTGGTGCACAGAGGGAATCTGTGGGTAAACAGGGGGACTTCTCATGGTGCGAAGAGAGAAAGCTGCAGTATAGGGGCAGTTATTCTCTTGCAAAGGGGCAAACCTGCAATAAACCTGCGGAATTGGAAAACTGCAGTAGACAGGTGGAATTCTTGTGGTGCAAAGGGGGAGGGGAAACTGCGGTATGGGTGGAACTTGTGATGCAAATTTGGGGGAAAACTGCTGTATACAAGCGGAATTCTTGTGCCACACAAGGGGAAAGCACGGGAAATTCTCGTGGTGCAAAGGAAGGCAATTCTCGTGGTGCAAAGGGGGAAAATTGCGCTATATATACGTGGGAACTTCTTGTGGTGCAAAGGGGGAAAGCTGCTGACTGCTGTACACAGCGAGAATTCTTGTGGCGCAAATGCGGGGAACTAGACGATTTTTGGGTGGTGCAAAGGAGGGAATCCACGGAATACAGCTGGACTTCGCGTGGTGCAAACTGCGGTATGCGTCGGAAAGTATTGCGGTGCAAAATAAAAGGGGAAAACTGCGGCAAACACAGAGAATTCTTGTGGCGCAAATGGGAATCTGCAGTATACAAGGGCTATTCTTGCGGTGTAAACGGGGAAACAGCGTTATGCGTTGGAAATTCTTGTGGTGCAAAGGGGGAAAACTGCTGTACACAGGCGGAACTCTTGTGGCGCAAGTGGGGAAACTGTGGTGTCAAAGGGGGAACGGGGGTGCTTCTTGTAGTGCAAAAAACTGTGATGCGCAGGATATGTTTTTCAGCTACGGGGCAGCCATGCTGAACAAGTCATGACAAACGAACTGATGAAACTGTTGAAGGAACCAGGATAACTAAGCAAAGCTTGGCCAGCCTTGTTGCGTTAAAATCGCTGGCGCATGTCTGTTTGGGGGGAGGAGGACCGTGCTCGCCCTGGTAGTGGAGACAGGCGCTGCAAAACTGCCATGAGATCGCTGGCGCCTGTCTGCCTGGGGAGGAAGAACTGGCTTGGACGACAAGACAGGCGCTGCCAACGTGTTGCCCCCTGTCCACCACAGAACCACCAAAAAACTCACATCACCATGTTTGTTTGGCATCCTACGAAGCAAGGTACATTGGTTTAAAATGAGCATGAACCCGCTGTTTCCCCATGATTTCACAAACACTGTCACATATTGCTGATGTTTTGTTTCTGCAAATTTACATGAACATCAGCGCATATTCATCATTTTCACCAGTTGTACACAAACATCACTACATGCTCCTTACGATTTTTGCAGCCTTGTTACCGTGATTTTACACGAACATCAACGCCTGCTCATTACGACTTATTCATCCTTGTTACCTTGACTTCACACGAACATTTGCAGATTTTTTAATCAAAAAACATGCTTGTAAGACTGTAAGCTTCTTAAATGCAGGCCAGTAGCCGCAAGCATTCGCAATCATATCGACAAGATTTTGGGAACGTAGCAGTGCGGGGCGGGGAGGGGGGGGGGGGGCGGGGACCGAACCCTTCACCTTGCAGGCGGGCCCGTAGTATAGAATTAATCTTCGGAATCAGTTCGATTCACTAGCTTAAACAAATTCAATCAATCTGTGAAGCCGGATCAGCCACCTGAATTGCTAAAGCTCAATGCTAGCATAGCTAGCTTTCGAGATAAGCATTGCACTTCTGGAAGTATGCCTTTTCGGACTGTTTGCGCAGGTCTTCCTGATACATGAACAAGAGCACACGTTGAGGAGTCCAATAGCCTTGGCCGAGTCGGAATTGTCCTTCTCACCAGGGTTGGGCAACATATTCTGTCCAAGCGCATAGGACAACCGGACACATAAAAGAAAAGGCTTTGCGCAATACAGTGGTTAAAGCATGTTCAAACCAGCGGTCGGCCGCCTGCTAGCAATCGGACCGGGCCCCAGCCTCCTGGCTTCGGTCCTGAGCGCGGCTGGCAACAGAGCAGGTGAACAAGGCCATCCCCAAAAAGGCGGCGACATGAAAAGTGGGGCCAAACTGGGATAGACTCAAGTGTGCAGCTTCAACTGCAATTCGGCAAAACACGATCTCTGGCCCGCGTATCTGGCACTTCCGACCGAACAAAAATCCACTGCTGTGTCCTGCGCTCAAGCCCTCCATGGACTTTGGCGCGCCTGGCTGGAGGCAGTGATGTGTCAAACGGATGAACGCAAGCTGGCCAGCCCGACGACATCTGCGACTCAGTTGCCACGATAGTGCGAATGGCAACTTTGAATCAACACCCCAAAAGTCAGAAAGTCATTGAGACCCGAGCTTGGACCAGGTCCTTCCCTAGCCGCAAGCATTCGCAATCACATCGACAAGATTTTGTGAAGCCGGATCAGCCACCTGAATTGCTAAAGCTCAATGCTAGCATAGCTTACTTTCGTGATAAGCATTGCACTTCTGGAAGTATGCCTTTTCGGACTGTTTGCGCAGGTCTTCCTGATACATGAACAAGAGCACACGTTGAGGAGTCCAATAGCCTTGGCCGAGTCGGAATTGTCCTTCTTACCAGGGTTGGGCAACCCTCCAGGTGTGCATTTTTGCTGCCGCTTGCTGAAAAAGAAATATGTTGTGTCGTTTGCTCCAAAAAGAACCTTTTCCTTTTAAAAGTGCTGCTTCAAAATCTTGCCAGGACGTGGTCGGCAAATGTCGCTTTTTGGTCGGGGAATGTCGCCTTTGGGTCGGGCAATGTTGCCTTTTCGTCTTCATCCTGGATTCACAAAACAGCAAAAAACGCAAAAATGCACTGAGGCAAAAACATGCGCCTTTGGCCCAAACAGCACAACAAATGCCGGGTATGTCCAAGCCCATAGGACAACCGGACACATAAAAGAAAAGGCTTTGCGCAAGACGGTGGTTAAAGCATGTTCAAACGAGCGGTCGGCCGCCTGCTAGCAATCGGACCGGGCCCCAGCCTCCTGGCTTCGGTCCTGAGCGCGGCTGGCAACAGAGCAGGTGAACAAGGCCATCCAAAAAAAGGCGGCGACATGAAAAGTGGGGCCAAACTGGGATAGACTCAAGTGTGCAGCTTCAACTGCAATTCGGCAAAGCACGATCTCTGGCCCGCGTATCTGGCACTTCCGACCGAACAAAAATCCACTGCTCTGTCCTGCGCTCAAGCCCTCCATGGACTTTGGCGCGCCTGGCCGGAGGCAGTGATGCGCCAAACGGATGAACGAAAGCTGGCCAGCCCGACGACATCTGCGACTCAGTTGCCACGATAGTGCGAATGGCAATCTGAATCAACACCCAAAAAGTCAGAAAGTCATTGAGACCCGAGCTTGGACCAGGTCCTTCCCTAGCCGCAAGCATTCGCAATCACATCGACAAGATTTTGGGAACGTAGCAGTGCGGGGCGGAGGGGGGCGGGGGGGGACGGGGACCGAGCCCTTCACCTTGCAGGCGGGCCCGTAGTAAAGAATCGATCTTCGGAATCAGATTGATTCACTAGCTTGAACAAATTCAAAACAATCTGTGAAGCCGGATCAGCCACCTGAATTGCTAAAGCTCAATGCTAGCATAGCTTACTTTCGTGATAAGCATTGCACTTCTGGAAGTATGCCTTTTCGGACTGTTTGCGCAGGTCTTCCTGATACATGAACAAGAGCACACGTTGAGGAGTCCAATAGCCTTGGCCGAGTCGGAATTGTCCTTCTCACCAGGGTTGGGCAACATATTATGTCCAAGCGCATAGGACAACCGGACACATAAAAGAAAAGGCTTTGCGCAATACAGTGGTTATATAAAGCATGTTCGAATGAGCGATTGGCGCCTGCTAGCAATCGGCCCGGGCCCCAGCCTCCTGGCTTCGGTCCTGAGCGTGGCGGGCAACAGAGCAGGTGAACAAGGGCATCCCAAAAAAGGCGGCGACATGAAAAGTGGGGCCAAACTGGGATAGACTCAAGTGTGCAGCTTCAACTGCAATTCGGCAAAGCACTATCTCTGGCCCGCGTATCTGGCACTTCCGACAGAACAAAAATCCACTGCTCTGTCCTGCGCCCAAGCCCTGCATGGACTTTGGCGCGCCTGGCTGGAGGAGTGATGCATCAAACGGATGAACGAAAACTGGCCAGTCCGAGGACATCTGCGACGCAGTTGCCACGATAGTGCGAATATGTGCGAATGGCAACTTCGAATCAACACCCAAAAAGTCAGAAAGTCATTGAGACCCGAGCTTGGACCTGGTCCTTGAAAAGCCGCAAGCATTCGCAATCATATCGGCAAGATTTTGGGAACGTAGCAGTGCGGGGCGGAGGGGGGGGAGGGGGGGAGGGGGACCGAACCCTTCACCTTGCAGGCGGGCCCGTAGTAAAGAATTGATCTTCGGAATCTTAAATCAATCTGTGAAGCCGGATCAGCCACCTGAATTGCTAAAGCTCAATGCTAGCATAGCTAGCTTACC